AAAAATAACTATTTTGTCACATGAAATTTGATATATCAAAAAAATAACCATAAATATATCAAAAACGATACCTTTGCAACACTGTCATCTTGCTACCATCTCCCGTGACATTCGTAACCTTCCGCAATCCTCCCCGTGGCATTCGTGCCACCTCAGTATATTATACCCACCATCTGAAAATATGAATTGTACCCCAGGGGGTACTTTACACGGAAAAAAATATTAAAGCTACATAAATTTACTATTTAAAGGTATAAAATATGGTACACATTGAAATATATTGGAAATTTATGGGAATATATTTCAAGGGGGGTATTTTGCCCCAGCGGATACTTCGTGCGGTAGTTTACCTATGCAAGCTCGCAAATTAGCTGGCGCCAGCTTCGTTTTCATCTAAAAAATAAAGATATGCTATTCTCAAGATATACAAAATATGAATTTTATTTTTTTTAATGCGTTTTGGTATTACTGAAACTGAAAAAATAAACATTTTTAGCGCAAGCGAATTCTAATTTTTCACATAGATAATCAAAGACGTTTATTAATATACAAAATGATATTCTTATCTCAAAACTAAAAAAAAACAAAAATAATATTAGAATGCTATTTGATATATATCGATAATTTCAAAAACAACTTTATATAAATTATATTAAAAAAAATTCTTAAGTAATTTTATCTTTGGCTTTCAGCCGGCGTTGGTATGTATTTACGGTTTTTATACCATTGGTATGTCATGAACACAACCGCAGACACAATTATCCCGCCAACAAAGCCACCTATTGTGGTGCCAATAATCACTCTGGAGTCCTTGGTGACCTTGGTATTGTTATTGTTATTAACAACGGTAGCAGTAGTCACAGAATATGATGTAAAGAGATTAATTGGATGATCGAGTTTGTCCAGAATATGTTGTTCCATTTATAGGATAAACACTATAGTTAGTAGTTAGAACTTGACTTTCGTCGACTGTATTAAATTCGAATTGATTGAACCAAACTTCCCCATCACCTAAAATAAAATAGGATGTGAATACTATAATTCAGCTACATTATGATTAATTTATTATAAAAAAGACTCACCAGATAATAAAACCCCAAAGAGAAGACTGACCGTATTATTGGGAACATCTAAAATACTTTCATATTTCTTCCAATCAACAGTGCCTATAAATAATAATAATATTAGAAAACCCCAATTGTTTAAATAACCAAACAAGTAACTTACCAGTGATAGGTCGATAATACATATTATCGAGAGTTTGAGTTATATTTGTATCAATTCGCATCCACATACCAGCCCAACCTGTGACATTCTAAAACAAAGAAAATAAATTAAGGAAATTATTGTGTTTTCTAAATGATCGATAGAGTTCTTACATTGGATTTCACGAAGCTTGTTAATCGAAGTCGTTTGCCCAAAAAGTCTCGAGGAAAAAATCTTTGTGCCATAGTACCAAAAAAATTAGATAATCTCCCTTCGAAGATTGGATCCGATTTTACAAATCCACTTGTTCCGGTCTATTTTTTTTTTTAAAAAAAAGAGAGTTCATATAATATTCAAACTTAAAGACAAATTTTGAAAGTTCTCACCGCATTCTCATAAAATATCGAGGAATCGACTCCCACAATATAATATTGTTCATCACCAGCGCTATACCACTCATCTGATAAGAGAATAGAAGAATTTATTTTATGTGGAAGTTGAAATAGACGAAAGATTATAGCAGTTTCAGTATACCAGGCAAAGTGTACGAAACTTCAGTCGAGACAGAAGAGATGAGAAAGAGAAAAACGAGAATATATGAGGTGAGATAGAGAAAGTAATTAGCCATTTCAAGCTAACTAAAAATTTTGTCATTGTTTAAATAAGTTTTCATCACAAATGTACATGTCTATATTTGTATAAATAATGAAAATTCCCATTATTTATATATAAAATGTGCGTGTATAGACAATAATTAATTTTTTTTTATAAAAAAGATAATATAAATATGTCGGAAGTAACTGTCGAAACCACCGAAACTATTTTGTTTCTCATCTATTTATACATATTCTATTTTATTGTGTTATTGTGATATGATATGCACTTAAAATAGTGATAATATATAAAAATAAATAAAATTAGTTAACATGAAAAGATATTTATTCATATCACTTTATGAGTTTTTATTACATCTGTCTTATGTTTTATTATTAATTGTGGGAAAAAATGAAATATTTGCAAGTTTTTCCTTTAAAGTAAATAAAGTAGAACATATTTCTAAACTAAATTTTTCAACTGTTTTAAGTGATGCAAAAGTATTTGGATTTTATGACCCGCTAAAGCCATTAGAAAATTAATTCTTCAGTGGTAGAATTTATTAAAGATATTACTTAATTATATTGGAAATCCAAAGAATTTTTAATTTTCGATGAAATTAAGAACAAAAAAAAAAAATTTAACTCATTTATATAAAAATAGTTGATGCCTTCGGATTTTGTGTTTAACGAAACCATACAACAATTGAATGATTTAAGGCGTAAATTTAGTTCAAAGGAACTATGATAATATTTATTATAACGTTTAACACTAATGTTAAATTAATATACTACTTTTTTTAATTTTAATTTCCACTTTTTACTTCTTTTTGAGTTACTTGGTAATATTTTAATATAGATATTACTTTCAATTGCATCAACAGATCTTTTTTGCTAGATCTCTAAATCTAATATCAAAACATATGGGTATACCAAATTATTCTATTAGTCCTATTGATTCTATTGATTCTATTAATTCTTTTAATTTAATAATTTAATAATTTAACAATTGTATATAGGTAAATATTATTAGTTGTGGCAGTCTTAATGATGTAAGAATTTTAAATTATTATCTTTATATTATTATTATTTTATTTATAATTTGATCCAGATGATAATTATAGTGCTCCTCAAAATGGTTATAATGTTTCTTTCGATAGTTTATTTAAGCAACTTAAAGAACCTAAAACAAAATTTAAAAAAATTGATTTGGGATAAAAATGATGATGAGTGTTTAAATAACAGTAATTTTTCTATTTGGCCATGGAAAGAAATAACTCTACGATCCTTTCAAATTTACAACTCAATGTGACTTTTGCTTACGAAAATCCTGAATCTTTATATCTTAAACTCAATTGGGCCACTGATAAATTTGCTGGAATATCAATTGCAAATTTAGCTTTTGATTCAATTAATAAAGCAGCATATCGAAATTTATAACTCCTGAAAATAATGAAATCATGATAGTAACGGAAATAATAATAATAATAAAGTTTTGTTAATCGGCTTTTACATCAGGTGATCGCGTGATGAATATGGCACTCAATTTTATAAATTGGATAAAATAATTTTCATTTCGTTTTATATAGTTTATATTAAAATAATTTCACAATACATTTTTTATATTTCAAACGTTTTGGAGATACAAAAAGCAGTGCTACATAACCATTTTAAATATGATTTTTTTTTTACAAACTTGAACATAGATAACGATAGTCACTTTCCAATTAAAGAATTATCTTATTCATAACTATTAAACGGAATCAAGATTGTTATAAATAAAAAGTTCATTTTAAAAACCAGATTCAATTGTTATACTGAAAAAATATATACATATGCAAGTAACAAACTTGATTTAGTTTCTAAACATTATGAAATATACCAGATTATTCTTGACGATTAAAAAGAGAGGCCGCAAATGCCATTCATACAGTACATCTGATATTTTTTTGATCGAGGTATTTTAACAATGGAGATGCTTTATATTTCTCGCAATTCTATTTATATTTATTCGAGGCGCGTTAGTGCCATAACTTCGTAATAAAATTATACCACTATCTCCTGTACAAAAACTCAGACAAGATATTTTAGCTCTAAATAATGAAATTAATAAAATATGCACTGAAGCGGAATGAAGTGAAGCCCGAAGTAGAGGTTTGTGATACGCTGGAAATTTAGGCATTTCTTGCAAACATATCGATCTGAAAATTCTATTGAAACTAAAACTAATTGGGTCGAATTCACTGCTACTTTAACGAAAGGAGAAAAAATGAGAGACGTTCCCCTACGAAAATGTATGACGTTTTATCTAAAGAAATCGGACTCAGTCCAGCTACAGCTAGCTTTTACCGTTATCAGTAATCTCCACAAAGAACTTCGTTGGATAAATCGAAGCTTGGATCGAAAAGAACATCAAAAAGAAAGAATCTTTTTTTAGTAGCAGTAGCAGTAAAAATAAAATATATTCACTAGTAATGATGATAATGATGATAGTTAATAATCGCTCCATTTTCATCCAAAATAAAAATATACTATTTTCAAGATATTCGAAATATGAATTTAATGCACGTTGGTATCTCTGAAACTTTTCTAAAAGATAAAATTTTTTGAAGCAGCACAACCGAATTCTAATTTTTCACATAGAACGTTTATTGGTCATAAAATAAAATAAATAAATAAATTACAAAAGTAATACATGATATTCTTGTATCAAACTAAAAAACAAAATAATATAAGAATGATATCCAATAATTTTAAAAACAACCAAATATAAATAATAAAATTCTTAAGTAATTTTATTTTTGGCTTTCAGCCGGTTGGTATGTATTTGCGGTTTTTATACCACTGGTACGTCATAAACACAACCGCAGACACAATTATCCCGCCAACAAAGCCACCTATTGTGATACTAATAATCACTCTGGAGTCCTTGGTAACCTTGGTATTGGTATTGTCATTAACAACAGTAGCAGTAGTCACAGGATATGATGTAAAGAGATTAATTGGATGATCGAGTTGTCCAGGATATGTTGTTGCATTTGTAGAATATACACTATAGTTAGTAGTTAGAACTTGACTTTCGTCGACTGTGTTAAATTCGAATTGATTGACCCAAATTTGCCCATCTCCTAAAATAAAATAGGATGTGAATACGATAATTCAGCTACATTATGATCAATTATTATCAAACAGACCCACCAGCTAAGAAAACGCCAAAGAGAAGACTTATAGTATTATTGGGAACATCTAAAATATTTTCATATTTCTTCCAATCAACAGTGCCTATAAATAATAATATTATTATTAGAAACCCAATTATTTAAATAACCAAACAAGTAACTTACCATTGATGGGTCGATTAGACATAAAATCGATGGTTATAGTTCTATTTGCATTAATTGCCATCCACATACCAGCCGAACCTATGACATTCTAAAACAAAGAAAATAAATTAAGGAAATAATTGTGTTTTCTAGATGATCGATAGAGTCCTTACACTGGATTTCACGAAGCCTGTTAATCGGACTCGTTTGCCCAAAAAGTCTCGAGGAAAAAAATATTGCGCCATAATACCATCAATATTAGATAATCTCCCTTTGAAGATTGGATCCGATTTTACAAATCCACTTGTTCCGATCTATTTTTTATTTTTTTTTTTTAAAAGAGAGTTCATATCAATATACAAAACTTAAAGACAAATTTTAAAAGTACTTACCGCATTCTCATAAAATATCGAGGAATCGACTCCCATAAAATAATATGGTTCATCACTATAGTTTTCCCACCCATCTGATAAGAGAGTAGATAAATTTATTTCATGTGGAAGTTGAAACAAACAAAAGTTTATAGCGGTTTCAGTATATACCAGGCAAAGTGTACGAAATTTCAGTCGAGACAGAAGAGAGGAGAAAGAGAAAAATGAGAATATATGGGGTGAGATAGAGAAAGTGATTAGCCATTTCAAGCTAACTAAAAAGTGTTGCCATTTTTTAAATATAAGTTTTCATCACAAATGTGCATGCACATATTTGTATATTTGTTTATTAATGAAATTCTTACCATTCCTAAATGGGATTATAATATATAAAAGTACTTTATAAAAAGATGTCGGAAGTAGGGTCCAGCTTGGTCCGACTTGAGGCCAATCTTAATTTTATTTTACCAAATCTAAATAATATAAATGCATTCACGAAAATGATTTAAAAGCACCCTTTAAACGATATTTCTAGCATTCAAGATTATGTTATTTATACGATTATCCAGATTATCTAAATAAGAATTTTAAATTATTATCTTTATATTGTTATTATTTTATAATATAATTATTATCTTTATATATTCTTTAGGCATTTATCTTGATCCAGATGATAATTATATCGCTTCTCAAAATAATGTTTCTTTCGATAGTTTATTTAATCAACTTAAAAGAACCTAAAACAAAATTTAAAAATTGATTTGGGGATTGAATTGACAAAAATGATGATGGGTGTTTAACTAACAGTAATTTTTCTTTTGGCCATGGAAAGAAATAAGGAAAATTGCATTGACGGATATGTGTATAGCTAATAATGGTGATGGAGTTGTTATTTTGATATTGATACTAACTCTACAATTCTTTAAATTCTAAACTCAATGTGCCTTTCGCTTTACGAAAATCCTGATAAATTTGCTGGAATATCAATTGCAAATTTAGCATTTGATTCAATTAATAATAGCATATTGGAATTTATAATTTATAAAATCAATAAGTAACGGAAATAATACTACAACAATTTAATAATAATAATAATAATAATAGTAATAACAAAGTGGTTATTGGGGTTGTTGGATGTATATTATTTGCTACATTATTATTAATCGGCTTTTACATTGTTCAAGGAGAAGAAAGAGAAGAATTTCCCTTTAATTGATTAACAAATAAAAATATGCTATTCAAAATATGAATTTTAATTTTTAATGCACGTTGAAACTTCTGTCATTGTTTTCCAAAAAAATAAATATTTTTGAGGTAGTATAAGCGAATTCTAATTTTCACAAATAAAAAGTAATATATGATACTCTTGTCTCAAAAACAAATCATATTAGAATAATATTTGTTATATATTGATAATTTCAAAAACAACCAAGTATATAAAAAATAAAATTCTTAAGTGATTTTATTTTTGGCTTTCAGCCGGCGTTGGTATGTATTTACGGTTTTTATACCATTGGTACGTCATGAACACAACCGCAGACACAATTATCCCGCCAACAAAGCCACCTATTGTGGTGCCAATAATCACTCTGGAGTCCTTGGTGACCTTGGTATTGTTATTGTTATTAACAACGGTAGCAGTAGTCACAGAATATGATGTAAAGAGATTAATTGGATGATCGAGTTTGTCCAGAATATGTTGTTCCATTTATAGGATAAACACTATAGTTAGTAGTTAGAACTTGACTTTCGTCGACTGTATTAAATTCGAATTGATTGAACCAAGCTTCCCCATCACCTAAAATAAAATAGGATGTGAATACTATAATTCAGCTACATTATGATTGATTTATTATAAAAACAGACTCACCATGTACTAAAACGCCAAAAGAAAGACTGACTGTGTCATTGGGAACATCTAAAATACTTTCACATTTCTTCCAATCAACAGTGCCTATAAATAGTAATAATATTAGAAACCCGATTATTTAAATAACTAAACAAGTAACTTACCAGTGATAGGTCGATAATACATATTATTGAGAGTTTGAGTTTTATTTGTATCAACTCGCATCCACATACCAGCCCAACCTGTGACATTCTGAACAAAGAAAATAAATTAAGGAAATTATTGTGTTTTCTAAATGATCGATAGAGTTCTTACATTGGATTTCACGAAGCTTGTTAATCGGACTCGTTTGCCCAAAAAGTCTTGAGGAAAAAAATTTTGCATCATAGTACCAAAAAAATTAGATAATCTCCCTTCGAAGATTGGATCCGATTTTACAAATCCACTTGTTCCGATCTATTTTTTTTTTTTTTTTAAAAAAAAATGAGTTCATATTAATATCCAAAACTTGAAGACAAATTTTAAAAGTACTTATCGTATTCCCATAAAAAATCGAGGAATCGACTCCCACAATATAATATTGTTCATCACCAGCGCTATACCACCTATCTGATAAGAGAATAGAGAAATTTATTTCATTTGGAAGTTGAGATAAACAAAAGATTATAGCAGCTTCAGTATACCAGGCAAAGTGTACGAAACTTCAGTCGAGACGGAAGAGATGAGAAAGAGAAAAACGAGAATATATGAGGTGAGATAGAGAAAGTGATTAGCCATTTTTCAAGCTAACTAAAGAAGTTTTTTCATTGTTTAAATATTTTTTCATCGCAAATATACACGCCAATATTTGTTGTTTTATTTAAACAATGAAAATTATACTTGCATTATTTAAAATGTGCGGGTATAGATGATGATAAGTAAATGGTTAATAATAATTATTATAATAGATAAAGAAATTTAATACAGTACTTATCGATAATTTTTTTTTTATAAAAAAGATAATATAAATATGTCGGAAGTAACTGTCGAAACCACCGAAACTATTTTGTTTCTCATCTATTTATACATATTCTATTTTATTGTGTTATTGTGATATGATATGCACTTAAAATAGTGATAATATATAAAAATAAATAAAATTAGTTAACATGAAAAGATATTTATTCATATCACTTTATGAGTTTTTATTACATCTGTCTTATGTTTTATTATTAATTGTGGAAAAAAATGAAATATTTGCAAGTTTTTCCTTTAAAGTAAATAAGTAGAATATATTAAACGAGTTGAAATTAATGATGATGTTTGTTCTAAATACATGCACAGGAATTGAATGATTTAAGGAGTAACTTTAGTTCAAAGGTACTTCAGGTTAGTATAATAATATTTGTGATAATGTTTACGATAACACCAATGTAATATTAATTTATAATACATTTTAATATAGATATTACTTTCAATCACCTCATTAGAATTTAATTATTTTAGCTAAGTAATAATATATAATGTCGAAAAATATGGACTTGACTCCATTAATTCTTTTAATTCTATTAGTTCTATTAATTTAATAATTGTGTATAAGTCAATATTGTTAATAGTCGTAATTACATTAGAAAATCTAAATAATATAACGAATTGGAACACAACAACATTTACAGCGAACGCAAATGATTTATCGGCACCTTTAAACGATATTTCTAGTATTCAAGAGTACGTAAATTATACGATTATCCAAGTAAGAATTTTTAAATTATTATCTTTATATTATTATTATAATTATTGTCTTTATATATTCTTTAGGCATTCTATCTTGATCCAGATGATAATTATAATGCTCCTCAAAATGGTTATACTGTTACTTTCAATAGTTTATTTAACCAACTTAAAGATTCTAAAGGAATAGATATTAAAAAATTGATTTGGGGGTTTGATCTCAGTGGAATTATGAAAGATGAATCAAAATCAATAACTGGATTGATGAAAAATAATGATACGTGTTTAAAAAATAGTAATTTTTCTATTCGGCCATGGAAAGAAATAAGGAATATTGCATTAACGGACATGTGTATAGCTAACAATGGTAATGGTTTGAGTCGTTATTTTGATACTGATACCAACTCTACGATTCTTTCAAATTCATAATTCAATGTTTCTTTTGCTTACGAAGATCCGGAATCTTTATATGCACTCAATAAATTTCTCACCTATGTGATTTAAGATCCCAGCTCAGGTCGGCAGGCTTACTTAACATAAGAAAACGTGACTTAGGTAATTTTGATTGGTTAATGTAATTTTATATAGAAGTATAAATGTATAAATGTATCAATATTGTTTATATCATTCTGTGATTAAATATTTTTTCTGGAAATACAAGAAAGACTGGCTCGTATCTATAATCACCACTTTATTCGGTTCCAAGAAATTTTTTATATAATATAATCACCTAGGCTTTTATTCATAATCACCACCAAAATTCGTTCGTCTGCATAAAAACAATAAATATTACACAAGGTATAATGACGCATTTGGTGAATTTTTTTTTTTTTTTAAAAAAAAAAATGTCTTTAAAATCATATAATGACGCATTTGGTAAAATTTTTTTTAAAAAGAATTCCTTTCAAAATAATTTGATTTTTCACAAGGTAGATATGGTAGTCACTTCCCAATTAAAGAATTATCTTACCCGCTTTGCAACGCTATAACTAAGACACATTACGTATCAGATGATCTAATTTTCAAGGATCAAGATTGTTTATTTGAACACATGAATCAACAGCGCCTTCTAGTTAAAGTTAAAAAAAAATATTTTATTAAAACCAGATTCAATTGTTTATGTTGATTTAGTTTCTAAACATTATAAAATGTACGTGTATATATTAACACGTACTTTCTATTTTATAAATCCACAAGATTTATATATAATATATACGAAGTCTCGACGTATACAAGCATAACCTGTTTAAATGAATAGGATTTTCTTGGCCCGAAGGTCTAGAATAGCTCATATGGCCAAAAGGTTATATACAGTATGCATTCTTGACGATTATAGATTAAATAACGCAAATAAAGCAATAAGTAAATTATTGCTGTATATCTTTTTTAGAATTTATTAGGGGAAAAGTAAATCACGTAATGAAATTATTTGAGTAAATCACGCAGTGAAATTATTTGAACCTTGAATGAGTTTTTTTTTTGATTTTTTTTTTATTATTGAGATAATGAAAGATAATACTTACGCAAAAGTTACAAAAACTCGATAAAAATTGAACAAGCATTAGTTTTGAATAATGAATTGAATCGAATAATGGCGAGGTTAGATTTCTATATGCTCATCAATCAATTACTCTTTTCCATGGCCACAATTTACTCTTCCTCTTGGTAGAAAATTTACATTAGAACCTATTTCCTCATATTGTTCATATTACCTTTCGAATATTCCGCATCATTCACTTATTATTTTAGGGAATAAAATACCTAAATTGTAAGTAATCTGTAATATTTATTTGTGCAACAACCGGAACCTTTTAAAAAAAATAATAACAGACAAAATGGCACTTTGTGAAGAATGTCAACAAGAAATATAATCTTGGCATCAAAAACATAATGGATTTTTTCATTTATTTTATTTATCTAACAATCTTTATCTAAAATCGGACAGCAAGTTGCATCAAGATCAGAACTTTTAAAGCATCAAAATGAATTTTGGTATCAATTTACTCGTCCATGAAATGTTCTCCAGACAATAATACATGTATATATAAAATGTGCGTGTATAATACAATACTTAATTTTTTTTAATAAAAAAGACAATATAAATATGTCGGGAGTAACAGTCGAAACCACCCGAAACTATTTCTCATCTATTTATATATGTGCTATTTTATTGTGATATAATAGTTTCTTACATATAAAAATAAATAAAATCAGTTAACATGAAAAGAAATTTATTCTTATCGCTTTATGAGTTTTTATTATATTCTGTCTTATGTTTTATTATTAATATTGGGAAAAAATGAAAAATTTGCAAAGTAGAATATATTAAACGAGATAAAATTAATGATGATACTGTTTATTCTAAACTAAATTTTTCAACTGTTTTAAGTGATGCAAAAGTATTTGGATTTTATGACCCGCTAAAGCCATTAGAGAATAATTCTTCAGTGGTAGAATTTATTAAAGATATTAGAATTGATTATCTTAATTATAATGAAAGAATTATTAATTTTCGATGAAATTAAGAATAAAAAAAAATTTAACTCATTTGCTGAATAATTATATAAAATAGTTGGTATCTTTGGGAATAACGAAACCATACAGGAATTGAGTAACTTTAGTTCAAAAGGAACTTCAAGTTAGTATAATAAATATTTATGATAATGGTTCAGAAAAATCAAAAAAAAAAATTCATGTGGAAGAGAAAATTTCTATGAATTAGATCAATTTTATTATCTTGATTTTATTACGCTGCACAAAATAAATGTTCGCTTTTTGCTTGTGGTTTAATTATACATTTAAAACCGTTCAACTTATTTTAAAAATGTTACCAAAAGATCCTATATTATGTATTTTGGGTTGTGGCACGATGGGAAGGCCATTTTATCAGGAATTTTTGCGAGTATGATCTCAGGTCAAGATGGGGACCAAACGTATACACCAAAAAAGTACATTGTTTGTACTTCAAGAGAAGAATCCGGTGCTCGAATAAGAAATTTTAACAATAAAGTCACGTTGTTAGTTGAAGGAAATGTTAAAGGAGTTAATGATGCTGATATCGTGTTATTATGGTATATGATTAATAAGTGTATTTTTCTATGAAAATATTATTATAAAAAAATATTTAATTTAATAAAGTTCAAAACCACAAGTAGCATAATCAATTTTAATGGAGGATGGGATGGCTCAAGCATTAGAGAATAAACTTCTTATCAATATATTGGCAGGAGTGACAATAAATCAACTCGAGCAATGGGTTCCTTTAACAACTAAAATCATTAGAGCTATGCCCAATGCTCCTTGCATGGTATAATACGTATATTATTATTATTTTTTTTTTTTAATTAGAAAACTTTGAATTATTCGTTAGTGTTACAAATTCTATTTTTTAATTTGAAAATTTATTTGAACAATAAGTTTTAAATGAAGTAATATTAATCATTAAACAGATACGCGAAGGAATGACAGTAATTAGTTGTCGAAATGATGTTAAAGCGGAAGACAAAGAATTTGCCTCTTGGGACGAGTGAGATAAAAAATTTTGGCGCAGCCATGGAACTTTCTGGAAGTAGTCCAGCATTCGCATTATAACATATTAATAATATATTAACAATATTAATTCTTATTCATATAGTGTTATATTGGAATCTATGGCAGATGGATGGGGCTCCTCCGTGATATCATGTTTGAATTGTCAGCGCATGGTAAACATTATCAGATTCCATCTTTTTCTTTTTTTAAAAAATATAAATATAAATATATATATATATTAAATCAATATAAATACTTTAAATTCATTCAATTCTTTTAATTTATAGCACTTTAAGAAGCAGTAAGAATGGTTTTACTAACTAATAAATATCTATCAGATACTGTAACAACTCCCACAGGATGTACAATTGCAGGATTGCTTACCATGGAAGATGGTAAAATTAGAACAATAGCAAGATCTATACAAGAAGCAGCAAATGTTAATAGAACGGATGATACCTCATAATGGATTTAAAGAAATAGAAAAAGGTGGTTTTGGTACTGTTTTTATTATTCTAAGTGGATTTAATATTGCAGATATAAATGAAATGAGGTAAAATAATATTTTCAAATATATATATATAATATATCAATAGGAAAGAGGCTTCACTTTATTATTAAAAATATTATTAATACTTGATGGTTTTAGAATATTTAAAAGATGGAAATTATTTAAAAAAATTTGATGGATTTTCATATATATTTCTGATTTCTGGTTTAAAAATTCCCAATAAGAAATAGTGTTTTTTGTTACGAGATTTTTTTTTATTGTAATAAAAATATTATTAAAGTAACTGTTAAAATTATTACACCGATTATTCTTAAACTGAAATTTCGATGAATAAATATAGTGTACCTTTAGTAATGAACTACAGTATTTGAAATCAAAGTTGAAAAACTTGCCCGAAAGTTCAAATGTTGATAAGAATTACTGTCTGATCCATGTGTTTAGAACCTTCATCTCTTCCAGAGATTCTTTCAAGATGAAAGTATGTACTTCCCGCATCGTCCTCTGCACCGTGAAAGTAGAATTCGATGATGACCCGACATTGATAATTCAATGGAATTCAGCTGTTCCTGGTTATCGTACCAATCACCCACCTTGTAAATCCATGTGTTTAGAACCTTTATCTCTTTCAGAGATTCTTTCAAGATGAAAATACTTCTCGCATCGTCATCTGCACCATGAAAGAGAGTAGCATTCGACGATAACCCGGCATTAATAATTCAATGAAATGATAATGGATTCAACAACGTACCAGCTGGTTATATTCCTGATCAGACAAAGGCCGCCCTCATCACTCACCTTGTAGATCCATGTGTTTAGAACCTTCATCTCTTCCAGAGATTCTTTCAAGATGAAAGTACTTCCCGCATCGTCATAAAAGAGAATAGCATTCGACGATTACCCAGCATTGATAATTCAATGGAATAATAATGGATTTAACGACATACAGCTATTCCTGATTGCCGTAATAGTATTCTCAATCAGACAAAGACTGTCCTCATCACCCACCTTGTAGGTAGTAGATTATACATGTAGTCAAAACTTTTGAATTTAGTCAGACACAATTAAAATTATGAAAAATTGGACTCAATTGACGCAATTATATAGGCACAATTAAAATTTCAGGAATTGAGTCAAAGACTTTTTACTTTTGACGACACGTATAGTTCCGATGTCTATGGAATGAATTTGGTTTCACGTTTAATAATATGGAGTTACTTTGTCAAACAATTCCTGAATGGTATGTGAAATTTCATTTCAGATCGTGTGATCTTTAATATCATTTTACCTGTCTCCTCGTGGTTTTTCGGGCATCAACAAGGCATCCCAGAAGTCTACAGTGTCATTTGTAGAATTAATGAGATTACGGAAACCAAATAGAAACAGAACCATTTCTTTATGCTTTAAACGGATAATTTCTTAAAGTAGTAATCCATATTTCTACTTAAAATTTATGCTTTCGACATATTACCATGTATTTATATATATATATATATATATTCCATACATAATTGTGGAAATTTATTACGTTTACGAATGTCAAATATTCAAATTTTTTAAAAAATATATTACATATTATGTAATGCGAATTTTGATTTATTAAAATGAGCAAAGATTTGATTCAAAGAAATATTTCATAATATAAAAATTTCCGATAACTCGAATTTTCAGATCGTTTATAAAACATTTACAACGCTCGAAGTATCAAGTCAAAAAAAAAAAAGAATCACCCGATACAACTTTCCTACCACAGACAGAAGCATGCTAACGAATCCACAACTTCGATGAAGAAAAAAATAGCTCTTAATTTTGAAATTATAAAATTATCCACATTCGGAAAATTTGGCTATGTATCACAAAAGAAAATGATATAATTATATAATAGTATATATATATAACAAACAGGTTTTTTTTTTGATTTTTTTACTCGGTTCATTAAAATTCCCCTTCATTACATTACACTTCTCGTAAAGTTTATTCAAAGTTACATATATATATATATTCAAAGAAGTTATTTGAACTATCATATTTTTAGTTTTTACCCAGTTATTGTGATTATTATTATCATTGTTATTATTATTATTATAATTGATTATCGATATGAATTTCAAACGAGGTGGAAGATATAAGAACCAAATTCAAGAAAGATTTGCACGAGGGCGAGGAGGTTGATATAGATATTTAACACGAAAATTAAAGGTTCTATATATGTGGTTAGGATTTTTGAATGGTTTATGGTGATTATTAAACATTTTATTACTTCTTTTATTTATATATTTATATGTATATAAATATAATATATATAATCTAGGAAGGTCGCCAAATCGAAATGACGACCAGTCCGGACATTCAGCTTCAGTGAATAATAATAGATCTCCAAGAGGAAGAGGTAATTGAATTGAAGATATATATTTCAAGACATTTAGGAACCAAATAATAACATGCAATAAACATCTTATGACATATAATAACATGTTTCATAACATGTAATAAATAGGAGGGATATCTCAAGAGGAGAAAAATAAACGTAATGCACGTGCGGAACGTTTTGCAGAACAACTTGATCCTTCACAAGTATTATTTCTATTATATTTCTTTATTTCACCTTCTACTAATTACTTCAAATGCCATTTACAATGTTTGATATTACGATAATCGTTACCTATAATTCTTATATTATTATGATATTTAAATTTCATTATTATTTTTTATTATTTTTCAGTTACGAAGTGTAGGAAGTGTAGGAGGTCTCGGGATTAAAAAGACAACTGAAATTAAAACACCACCAATAGATCCCGTTAACGACTTACGTAAAGTGGTAGATGCGTATTTCAAATTAAGATTACTCATTTATAAGAATGATGAACATCGAGATCCGAGTGGTAGACCGGTTGCTTGGGACTTCTTCCAGGAAGATCAACAACCTGTTACACTTGAATCATTATGTCGAGGAACTTCTGATGTGGAGATATCACCCGCTCCTAGCTTTTTGGACGTAGAGGTGGAAGATCTAGATCTTGAATTAATGGATGTTGATGAAACTCTTATAATGGTAAAAATAGATACTCAATTTATTTATTAAATTTATTTTTATTTATTTAATTATCTAACCAACTAATTTATTTTTAATTTATTTTACTGATATTTTTAGGAACAACCCTCCGCTTTTTCTACTTATCCCCCTTATTCCGCTCCAGAACTATTTAAATCTACACCGGTCAATCTAATATTTCCTCCTCCTCCAACTCCATCAAATCCCTTTGAAATATTTAACAATGAAGGTATATTATTCCTCCCTCTCTCCTCCCCTCCTTTCTTTATTAATAGTTACAATACTACTACGCAATTATGTAATTATAATTATTTATAAAATTTAAATATTTAGTTCCGAATAAGTCGACTAGTGTCACAAATTATGTTAATAAAAGCATTCAGCCATACTCGAATCTAAATAGAGAATATAAAAATCTTGAAGAAAGTTTATCGGAACGCGAAGGATTAAAAGATTCACCAGAAGAACCCGAAATTTTTGGTGATTATCAGGAAGATAAAACATTAGATCCAGTAGATAAACTTGAAGAAGAAGAAGGTGAAGGAGAAGGAGAAGAAGTAGAAGAAGAAGTATTGGTAGTAGAAGAAGAAGAAGCAGGCGATGACCAAGGCGAAGAAGAAGAAATAATCCTAGTGGAATCACCAATCGACAATGAAAATATTGATGATGATGATGATAATTTATTATTATTATCGACGTATGTGTACTCAATAATAAATATTCATAATATTTCACAGAATATTCTATATAATTATTATTATAATTATTATTATAAATTATTAAAAATTGTATGAAATTAATTAATTAATTTAGATCACCAAATCCAAAATTGGATATCTATAAATTAATGATGGAATCATTATTATTATTTTCTGATCTACCCAAAAACCAAGAAAAATTCAGTAAAAGGAAACAAAATTATAAAAAACCAAAATTACCCAATCGTCAAGATAAAGCCAAGACGGAAAGGGAAAGGAGACGAGATGAATTTAATAATCGAATTAATAAAAATCGTAATATTAAATCAATTCTTAAAGAAATTGGTCATAAGAAAAAGGAACAACCGAAAGAAATGGATTCATTGAAAGTAATAGATAAAGATATTGAAACCCTTAGAATGGAATTAAAAAGACGTTCTAGTATTATTGAACGTCTTAATAATGAATCTTTAGAAAAAGCGAAAAATGATCCAAAATATAAACATCAATTTTATAAAATTTTAATGATGGCCGAAAAGGAAATTTATAGTTCAAATTCTTTAATATAATCAAATTTTATAATCATCAATCAAAATCAATCAATCATAATTTTAGAGAATAATAAATAAATAAATATATATATATATTAGAGGATAATAAAATATCTTAGATAATAATAATAATAATTAGAAAATATTCATAAACAAACAAACAAACAATATTCTCATTCTTTTTCAATTTATTGTTTTAAATTTTTTATCTTTGCTTAAAATGTTGGGGTTGGTAAATATAACATTTGCGTTTAAAAAACAATAATAACAAAATCAATCAACTATTTTCATATATAATAACCATAATCAAACCAATGCATGATAAATATAATGACAACAATTAATTATTGCATGTTAAATATAATAATAAAAATATATATATATAAAAAAACCAAATTTTAATTTCCGTACTCATTTTTTTTAATAATAAATTTACACATGATTTTGAATAATAATAAAAATATAAAGAATTTTTTTTTTTTTAAAATACTGTCAAACCAAACCTATAATAATATCATTGCCTAAATACAAAGTCTTTATTTTTTTTTGCAAAATTAAATAAACATAAATTTATTTATTAATATTAATAAATTTGTCAATTATGATTGCCGTTTTTTCTTTGCATATGTTGTAAGGTCCCTAAAGTATATAAAAAATAAAGAAGAGTATAAAGAAAGAAAGAATTAGTTGATACATTTTAAACTATATACATATATAAAATTATATAACATAGATTTTAAATTGAGACACTTACGTGATAATACTAGTCCATGGAATATTTACAAAAGTCATACAACATTTTAAACTTTCCGGATCTGATGAAAAAGATTTATCTGATATAGACTGAGATAATCTTTTCAGTGATTCAAAAAATGAATTTCTATTATTATTGTTGTTGTTGTTGTTGTTGTTTTTATCATTACTCATTGACGTTTTACCATTATTTTGTATCTTTTTATCAGTTAAATTAATATTATTATTGTTGTTGTTAAAAAAAGATGAAGGATTAGAAATATCGAAAAAGTCATTTGATTCTTCTAAAGATGTAGCAGTAATTGCCACCTATTAATTTCATAAATGAATAAATAATTAATATCAATAATAAATAATAAAATAATAAATAATAAAAATAATAAATAATAAAATAATAAAATAATAAATAAATAATAAAATAATAAAATAATAATAATAATAATAATAATAATAATAATAATAAAATAATAATAAAATAATAATAAATAATAATGATAATAAAATAATAATAAAATAATAAAATAATAATAAAATAATAAATAATAAAATAATAATAACCTGAGCGTGTCCTTTTCCTCCTGGACCTCTCATCATAATATATTCTGTGGGTGGATTCACTGGACCCATTTTAAATCTTCTACTTATTTTGCTTTCCGATTTCTGTTTATAAATGTTCAATAAAGCAGAGTAAGATGCTGCACCTTGAAATAAAGTAATTTTTGTATCATTTGGTTGTGGAAATGGTTCATTGGTCAACGACCTTCGATGGTGATTATTATTTTTATTGTGATTATTGTTATTCTTCTCATTATTATTATTATTATTACTATTATTATTATTATTATTATAATAATAATCACTCTCATTACTAAAGTCATCCTCATCATCTAATTTATTCGGTAATGTCACAGCCAATTCAACACATAAATATTCACCCTTGGTTACAATCAAATGTTCAAACATATCTTCATAATCATCAATCACATAATAAATTAATGGATAAGAACATTCCATTGATGAATCTTTAATATCCATTCGAGATTTGGTTGGAAGTGCATAAACTCTTTTAGATACATGCTTACTAGAACATGTCATACTGGTCTTTTGTTCCGTTTCACTACCAACACTAACACTAACATCACCATTTGAGGGATTAATTTGAGTCCGGGTACAAACTGCGACAGTTAATTTACAAGGTAACTGATAAATAATAAAATAAATTTTCGAAAATGAATTTTGTTGATTAAAGAATTATATATATATTGAAGAATTGTATTGAAAGAATATATTGAAGACAATTGAAGAATAATAATGCATTGAGAAGAATTAATGATTTTTTATAGTTATAAATACCTGAACAATTAAATTAAGGAAAAATGTCTCTTTCCATAATACCGGATCATCTAATTGTGGCATTACTCGTGGAGCTGATTTCCTTTTAACAAATACCGGGTCAAGATGTTCATTATCGGAATCTTGTTTCCTCACAAAAAATAACAAGTCATCATTTTTACTATCACTATTATCCAGGAAATACTCTATGAAAAGGTCCACCCATCTATTAATATCATATATATAAAAATATTATATAAAAATATTATATAAAAAAATATTATTATATGATATTATATATAAGATAAGATATTATCTATTATTTTTTTTTAAAAAAAAAACTTGAAATAATTTGAAATAATTCGAAATAACTTTAAAATAAATTAAAATAGATATAATAATAATAATATATATATATATGTTTATAGAAATATAACCTCGGGTCTTCGGAATCAGGAATATGTTCTTCGGTTGGTTCCTGAGCTCCATATAAATCCGGTTGTAAGGTATGACTTGTGGTGGTTGTTATGGGACCATGTAAATTTTCAATAATAAGTCGATCGAGAATTAGTTGCAAGTGAGTCATAATGATAATGATATGGATATGAATAAGGAAAAAAAAAAATTAAAGTTTTTTTATGTATAAAATTCTCTTAATTATCAGGTCGCACAAACAAACTTTAACTAAAATTATACACCAGCCTTATACCGTTTATATTATTTGACATGTGCACATGATTCTAATTATAATTTCAATTATGATTTCCTGTTATATCCTAAGAAACAGGAAATATGATAATAAAAATAAAATGTAATGCTAAAAGGTAAATAAAATAAAGTAATGCTAAAGTAATCATACACTACTAAAAAAAATAATTAAATAATAATAATAATAATAATATAAATAATATAAATAAACAGTTCTTTTCTTAATGAGAATTATGAAAATTACAGAATTCAAAAAAAAATAAAAATAAAAATAAAAAATTGTAATAAAATTTTTTCTTATATACATGACGTTAAATTTATAAAATTTATAAAAATTTATATAGATATATATTATATGAAATAATTTAATTTTTAATTATAATTTTACAAACTATTATGAAAAGAAATTATAATTAATCTAAGTAATATTAGTATTTATTATTATTATTATTATCATACACACCTTTCTTCGGTCAACTTAAAATTGGCAAAAACTAAAGATTATAAAGATGATATTATTGATTACGTGTTATTATTAATAATTAAATGTTATCATCAATATCTTAATATAATAATATTATAATATTATAATAAAATAATAATAATGTAACAATGAAAAAAAAATATAAGATTAATATTAATAAAGAGGTTTACTCACATTTCCCACAATAGCCAATGGAATATCAAATATATCGCGTTTAATAGTAAAACAAAATGCACATGGAACTGGAATTCCGGAAGGTCGAATCAAAATGCATGTAGTCATAACCGATTGTCTTGAATTATTAAAAGCGTGACAAGCAAATTTTTCCCAATATTCTACCGCAGATTGATTATCCATGACCTTGTTAAAAAAAAAAAAATAAATAAAAATAAAAATAAAACAAAATAAAATAAAATTAAATTAAATTAAAAAAAAAAAAAAATAAGTTTAAAATTAAATTAAAAAAAAAAAAATTTAATTAAAAAAAGTTTAAAATAAATTCACCTCATATATATATGTAGTTTTCCCGAGTAATTGATCTTTAGTCCATTGCGTTAATAACGAGAATTCTTTACCCACCAATGCAATTTCTCCAGTTCGACGCCAAACAACAGTTGGAGTTCCCGAGAAACTTATCAATTTTTCGAATTCCTTTTTTTTTTTTTACATAAACATATGTATATATATTAAAGAAAAAAAAATAAAATAAAAAATAACAAATATGTGCATAGTATATTGATATTATTCTAGAAAATAGATATATATGTAAAATAAATAATAAATAAATCATATACACGAAATAAATATTATACATACTAAAATTGTTCTCTGAAAACATTTCTCCATGAAAATTAAATCTTCTTCCGTCAAATTCATTATAAGTGCAATGAATGAAGGTCTAAATGTGGCTAATGCTCTTACAATTCGTTCTATATGATCTTTTTCCATTCTTTATATTACAAAACAGTTATCATTAAATAATATTAAATTATATTAAGTTGAATTATATAAATTATATATAAAAAATTAGATATAAAATTATATAATACATACCTGTCTCTAACAAATTTTACTAAATAATGAAATCCTTCAGTATACGAAAATGGTTTCTTGACATTAGCATATACATTTTCTGGTGTATTTGAATACATCTTTTTTTTTCCTAAATTTTCCCTTTTTTGAGATGGTGATGGTTGTGGATTTGTATTACTACCATTTATACCACTATTACTATTATTATTAACACCACCTATCAAATTACTTCCTATACCACTTCCTAAAATACCGCCACCTCCTCCTATTCCACTTCCAGCACCAGAACCACCACCTCCACTTCTTATTACACTTCCACCAGATGCTGTAATGATTGGACTTGTACGTTGTAATGAAGGATGATGTTGCCAATTATTTTCAATCATTCCCATTTCATTTACAATTCCACTATTTGAACGTGGAATACTACCACCACCATCACCACCACCACCACCACCTAATGGTGATTCTGTAGTATTTGAAGCCGATAACATATTACTTAAAATAGAATATTCTAAATTTACTGCTTCCGAACCAAATCCATAATTTACATTTGCTGTCGTTGTCGTTCCTGGCGTGAGAGGAAATCCATTGTTGGAACCAAATAAAGTACTAGGATCTATAATATTATCTAAGAAGATTTTTTAAATAAATTAAAAATATATATTAATGAACTTTATTATTATTAATAATATTATTATAATTATTGTCATCATCATAATCATCACTTTGTACCTTCACTCGAAAGGTACAAAATTTGTGTTCAATCATAACGACCGAATAAAATTTGAATAACATTTGAAAAACATTGAATAATAACATTAAATAATAATATTGAATAATATTTGAATAAGATCAAGTTTACAAGGTCTAAAAAAAAAAAAAAAAATCTATTCATTTCTTTCATAAATAATGAGTTGTTATACTCACTAGGCGTTGATGGAAATCCATTATGTCCATTATGTATAAATAATGGTTGATTAGGGGTCTGTGATGTAACTAATAATATAAACATAAAATATAAACATAAAAATAAAATATAAAAAAATATAATAAAATGAAATTATTCAAAAATATTCGTGATTAATATCAAATGATTTTTTTTTTGGTTAATAACCCATTTTTTTTGTTATGAAACTAATCGTTAAAGGCGATCCACGATTTTTAATGCTTACTACCATCATAATTTGAATCTTGTAAGTATTTTGCTTTTTTACGAATTCCATCCGTACACGAGGCCGCTAGATCTCTCTTGATGCAACGTTGACAAGGTCTAGCTATTGTTTTAGACGGAGGAAGGTGGAATAATAGACGATCTCTATAATTAAAACAACTCTGTAATTTAAGGTGATTAAAACAAGATTCAGTGATTAAATCACTTACAGTCATCGCATGTTAAATGAGCTTTTTGACAATGAAAACAAGCTCTCGTGGCTTTCTTCCTTCGTGACGGACTTTCAGTATGTTCAGTGGCAGAAGAACTTTGTATACTTTCTGACATGATTGTTAAAACAATAAGAATTAAAGATATTATTTATGTTCTTATCAATGACAGTCAATCCATATACAGTTGGCGTCAAAACAATGTACTACCACAAAAAAAAAAATAATAAATAAAAGATTTTAAAGATGCAATTTATTCTAATAACAGATAATAATTAATTAATTAAAGATACAATTCATTATAGTTGTAATGGTTTTAAATAGTTGTACTGGATATAACTATCATCCTTTCATTTTCTCTTTCTCTCTCTCTCTCTCTTTCTTTCTTGCTTTCTTTCTTTCTTTTAAATAAATAAAAAATTCTTTGAAGATCTAGATTAGATTATCATAAATGTATGTGATAATTTTTCATAATTTTTTCATCCAGCTAATCCTATAATGAGATTTATAATGATCTTTATAGTATTTCACGTAATTTCGCATCCGATGGAAAATAAATAGAAAGAAGTAATTCAAATTTTGATGTTAAGAAGGAAAGTGTTTGAGTCTGAATAGATTCTTGTTGATAATATATTACATTGAAGATAGATTCTTGTTGATAATATATTACATTGAAGTATATTACAGTACAAAAGGATAGGTATTTGTATTCTTTATATTCTTTACGTTATTACTTAATACTAGCAATTTATCTAACTATTTAATATTATATATATATATTTATATATTTATTTATTTAATTATTAATTAAAATTTAAAAAAGTAATTTTATATACCTTTAATGGAATTATTGATGATTATTGTAATAATGACGAGAGATTGACGAAAAGAGTGACAGAATTTTGTGAAATATTTTCAAGGATTGTGAAGTGATTGTGTAACGATGAGATACAAGGAATTGGCTTTCATGAATTTCTATACGGATTTATTATTCGTTGACTTTATATATCGCATATATATCATTAAGAATGATGTGACGAGAAATATAAATATGAAAATGTAAATAATATTTCAACGTCTATTTTTACATCTATCATCAATCAATACAATTAATGAAAAAAAAAAAAAGATTATTATTAGGAAAGTACTTTTTATATATTGAGCATTGAGAAACAATTAACAATTATTGATCTCTTTCATAATTTATATAAAATAATAATAATATTATTCTTATTCTTATTTACCTTCTACGACTTTCCATATTCCGATATTATTTGTTAATATTATCAATGTTCGATAAACTTTTATCCGCTATTGAGTGAATAAATAAACTTTTTTGATGAAACCAATTTAAAAAGAATATTCTAATACAATAGATAATAAAGAGAATAAAGTGATATATTAGGTATCATCAACCTTTTTTTTTTTATGTTCAATTCTTCGAGACAAATCCAATATATATATATATAACAATTTTTTTTATTGTTGTAAAACTTATAAGATGAATAATGTGAACGCAAAATATGTACATTTTTTTTAAAAAAAAAAAGATATATGAAGATATATACGTATACAATGAATTACTTTAATTTCTGAATTTTCTTTTTTAATTTTGAAATCATACTGACTATCTCACGTTTTTTACGTTTCTTGTGGTCATCGGTTGACTTAGGATCATGAGGAGAATCGTGATTTTCATCATCTCCTTCATCATTTTCGTGATGATCTTTATTTTTGATTTTATTTTTTATCCATTTATAGAATTTGTATTTGTTACTATTTCGATTATTATTATGATTATTATTATTATTATTATTGAAATTCGAATTAGTGATATCCCGTGTAGAGTTAGAATTAGAAACTACTGGGAAATTGGTAATTGTTGGTAGAGAGTTGGAAGTATCAGTAACTACTGGAGAATTAATAGTTATTGATAATGTAGAATTGATAACTGCTGCTGGTGTTAGAGAATTGGTAATGACTGCTGGAGAATTATTATCAACTTCTGGTGAACAAGTGTAATTTTCTTCGTCGTCTTCTTCTTTTTCTTCTTTTTCTTCTTTTTCTTCTTCAGGAGAATTCAACAATTCTAATATATTAGATATAAAAAATGGTCGAAATCGAGTGAGTGGATTTTCATAAATCAATGTTGGATTATTGGGCCTTTGAATAGGGTCTGGAATTAAACGTTCACTTTTAGGTACCATTGGTACCATCGGATCAAATTGACTATTTATGTTCCACTTAGGAACAAATATAGCTGCGTTTACGTTCATTTTTCTTCTTTTTTTTTTTTTTTTTCTTTTGATATATGAACAGAAAGAAAGTTTGCTTGGTGTTTTTTTTTTTTTTTTTTAGATTTTGATGAGATATATATTTATGTTATCGTAAAAAAAAAAAAAATAAAATCAAATAAAATAAACATTTTATAATATTATTTAACGGGAACAATATATATTGTCAATCCTTTCACTTTTCATTTAATCATTTTTTTTTTATTCACAAACAAGAATCACGAAGAAAGTAAACAAAAGAATAAACGAATATTTTTGTTTCTGATTAAGGAAAAAGATTTTATGCTTTGGGTTAGATAAATTTAACGTCTTATGTAATCAAAATGTATAATCTTATTTCTAATTTTTTTTTTGTGTAATTATTCTTGAATTAGTTATTAATTAATGTTATTATTTATTTTTTATTTGATTATAGGACTAATCACCTCCACATCCTCCTCCACATCCACCACATCCTCCACTATCACCAAGGTCACCTAATTCAATGCCTGACGTAGTTCCGGCAGCATTAATTTTGACATCATTTTTTTTCGAGTAAGAAATTCCATAGTAACATAAAGTGAAATACAATAATAATCCTAGTGGGAAGGCGATTCCTCCATATAATTTTAACGCAAAACTATTGGGGTTGCTAGAAATGCTAATAAGGCATATAAAGCCACTTATAAAAAGCATACCAGGTATCGAAAGTAATATAAATAGGAACGAAAATTTTAAACAATCAATCAACCAATCACCCAAACTCTTCAAACACCTAAATATACAATTCATAATATAATTTTATATTACAGTAATAATGTTATTGTATTAATTAAATATAGGAGATTAAAGTTTATGAAATACCTCTCCTCTTTAAATGAAACTAATAGAGAAATCGAAACTAAGTGATATAAAAAGTGATGAGTAATTAATTTGGTAAAATAATTAAAAATAGATAATGGTTATTATTGCTATTTCATTTCCTAGAAAATTATTATAAGGTTCTTTATTTGGTTTATATTTATTATATAAATTTGGATTTCCTTTTCCTTTTTATTTCAAAAGAAATAAAGTTAAACATTAATCAACTTTCTTAGTTGAAATTCTTTATATATTATAATAATTTTCCTTGAACTTTACCTAAATTCAAAAATCATAAATACCTTTTTGGTGTTATAACAAACTGAAAGTTGCTTTTTGTTTAATTTATTTTTTTATTTCTGGATATTCTTCTACCAATTTAATTGGGATACATAAATTTAACATTGGCTGAATAATGATTGCTTTCTGATTTTCTTTCTTTCTATTTTCAATATCAAAACCGTTCACTTAGTAAATGAGTAGATGTCCGATTGTGCTTGTTCAAAAGGTATATTCGTTAAATTTATGCTCTTTTGTTCCAATGTTGTACACGGACAATGCCGAAATTTCCTTTGGACACGGAAAATCTTGAACAATGTCCGTTCTCCGCGTCCAAAAGTTTGTTCAATCAGCTAGTTGTCACACGGACTTGTCCAATGAAAAAAAATTAAATGTCCCGCGGACATATAATTTTCTAACAATGATATTGTCTATCTATAAAAAGTAATTGAAAATATCGCTTACGTAACATATATATATCATAATTCCGTGATATCTATAAAGAAGTATAAATTATGTAAATAATAATAATAATAAGAATAATAATAATTAATAATCAATAAACTTGAAATTAACAAAAAAAATCGTTAAATAATTATCTCGAATGTAATATCCTGGACATAAGCTCTATGGGACATGGACTCGGACGCCCCAATTTTGTCCCGTCCAATGTCCGTGTCGCATCCGGTGATAACACTGCTTTGTGTGGGATAGGTTTGAATTGGGATTTACATTTTATTTGAATTGGTTTAATATCATAATAAGAGATGTGTTTGGTATATAGTCGCATTTTTTATGCGGTGTGTGTTTAATAACGTGTCTGATAATCTTAAAACGCGAAGATAACCTATCAATTTTTTTTTGTGGAGTCAAACACAACGCCTTTAATATTTCGATCGCATATTTTTCAAGTGGAACGTTTTAGATTTCTTAGATGAATGTGATATGAAATCTTCCAATAAGAAATATGATTATTCCTGGAAAAAAAAATCAGTAATAAGGAAAAAGGGCGAAAGACAACAAAAAACAAACCTCCCGCTTGAAAAATATAGAAAGGCTGTATTAAACTTTAGAACTTTTGAGTTAAGGATTTGATGGTGTGGCAGGGATCTACAGTAAACTTTATTCTCTGTTTGTCATGTTTCAATGATGAATAATTAAACCAAGAGGATACTGTTGCTTCGTTAATTCAAGTTCAACAATTGCTACTTCATCTAATGAATAAAGCGAAGGCGGGAGATATAAATATTAAAAAATTTTCTTGCCAATTTGACCTGTTTATTTTTCATAAAAATTATCGAAATTGATAGCAATGAAGAAGAGTTAAAGCAGTGCATAATAGAGATAAAACGTAAAATAGAACTCTATGGTTCTGCATCGGGCAGTAATGAAGCTGTCCGGTGCCTGTATATTTCTTCAATACTGAACGCATCCATCTATATTGCCAGGAGAATTACTAACAAAATAATATGTGAAAGAATGGTTTGAGTTGATTATGCAATCAAGAAATTCAAAGATCCTACGGATGGGGAATTGATAATAATTGGAATGATATAGAAATAAGATTTGGACAAAACGTTTTGCAACTTAAATCTTCTAAATTTGACTACCTTTATGGAATTGATACTGCAGGTACAATTTGTTTATTATATTGGAACCAAATAAAACTAATATATATTACAATCCCTCAATTTATCGCTATTAGTAAAGAATTGTATTTTATCTTATATACTCCAGAAAAGTTTTATCGTTTAGAAGATTAATATCAAATTAAAATTCTCAAAAATGCTTTGGAGGATGATTTAGAACTATGCAAAGGTGTGAAAAAATTTATAGAGGCCATTAAGTATGTAATTTATGTAATTTCATAATATACATTCTATATTTATCATTATATTATAGAGCTCTAGTAGAAGACTTTCAGGAGCTCAATTAAGTGCATATATAACAAAAGATGGTATAGGTTACAAAAACTATGTCTACAAAACAGCAAAAATAATAAACGGAACAAAGATTTCCAATCAATCTTAATTTTGGTGGCTATTCAAGATTGTAATTAAAAATAATTCTTTTTTTTTCTTTAAAAAAAAAATAAAGGTTGAAAAGATTCAAATTATGAACAGCAACATCACCATTATTATTATTAAATATTTTTTTAAATTTTTAAAAGACATATCTTAGATTTCCTCGAAGCGTAGGGATAACGGAGTAAGTGAATTGTTGATCGAATTAATCAAAATCTAACCTTCATCTTATTATTTTATCGGAACACAAGGTTTGAAAAAGAATAATTAATATTAAATCTATACATATAAATATTTAGAGAGAATAATAGAAAATAATAATACTTCATTATATTTTATATTTTTAGCCGACGGATTATTCTATCTTGATCCACATCATTCACATCCTGCCATAGAAATGATACTTACTGAAGAAGTAAGCATATATATATTATTTATTTAAACATTCTTTTGAATAGATTTGAAATTTTATTTGCTGTATAATTTTTTATTTAAAAAAAAAAAAATAAATCCACAGGACTATTGGTTTATCATTGTCTATTTCACAATGTTGGATTTTATTGTAAGACAAAGGATGATTTTGAAGATTTTCGTAGCCGAGTAGAAATTTTTATTGTTTCTTTTCTATTAATTTCTTTATACTTAAAAAATATACTTAAAATTTATTATATAATAATACGTATAATGTTATAATGAATATATTTAATATATTGAATGTTTATTATAGATCAGCCAACCAGCCAACCAGTATTCACTATCGCACAAGAAGCACTGATGCCGAAGATGACGATGAATTTGATAAAAAGCAATGATAAAAGCGATGATGATAACGATGCTGATAATAATTTCACAGAACAAGTAATTGAATTGGATCAATTATATGTAAATATATTTTTTTTTGGGATTACATAATATTAATGTGGTTACAATTTTCTTTTAAATATATCAATATATCTTTTATAATTATGAATATATATATATATATATATATTTTTTCGCGTTTCTCATTTTTTTTTCTTGATTTTTATATCCAAATAAAAAAAAAATAGATATATATATATAGTATAATTTATTATTGTTGTATTTAAAACCAATTCTTTTCGCGATGATACAATGAATTCTTCGTACGCTTCACATCTCCGTAAACCAGTATTTACGATCGCACAAAGTACCTATTAATTCTTTCAGTCAACCGCGTGTAAAAAGGAATATATGACGATAAAATTTTTTTTTTTTAATTTTTTTTTTTTTAAAAAAAAATTTCAAGAATTTAAAAAAACTTGATACTACTTAATTTTTAAATAGAAAATTAGAAATAACAAAATCCCGTTTTATCTTATTAGAATAAATAGACACCATACTAAACAATCCTTAATACTATACTACAAAAATTTTTAACACTCTTTACTACGTTACTACTTAAAACATTCACTACACGATTCTAAATTAATTTTATTTTTATATTTAAATTAAATTATGGAGCAAAATGATACTACAGATACTAGTGAATGAAATAAATGAAATTTCAATCTCTGATAAACCGGATACCGAAGAACCTGAAGAGGATTATGGAATATGTGAAGAATGTGGAAATAAAAATACATGGAATTATTGGTGCCTTCAATGTAATTCTCAACATTTTCAACAAAATTTTGGAAATTGGACAAGTGGCAACAAAGATGTTGATGCAATCATTCAAGAGTCCCAATCAAATTGTACTACAAACTATTCCTTCGTTGAATGGATTCCATATTCCAAATTTGAAAACATAAAATATATTGATAAAGGAGGCTTTGGAAAATTATATTTAGCTATCTGGAAGGAGGGACATATTGACAAGTAGAATATTCAGCAAAAACAATGAGAAAGAAGTGATCATGATGATGATCGTAAAGTTGCATTGAAATCTTTAAACAATTCACAAAATATAACAACTGAATTTTTTAAATGAGATAATTTATACTTATAAGTTTATAAAAGAATATTATATTAATATAAAATCAGTTGTTTATGTACATTTTTTATATTTATTTAGTTCAAAAATTATTTAAAATGTCAACGAGCAACAAAGCCATCAATAGCACCGTGTTATGGTATTATACAAGATTCCAAGATAAAGAATTATATGTTTGTGATGGGTTTTATGGAGGATGGGAATCTTAGAAACTGTTTAAAATCAATTTTTTCTAAATTGCCATTGGGAAGATAAATTAAATAATTTATATTCTTTTTCCTATGGATTAAATCATATGCATGAGATTAATTTAGTTCACCAAGATCTCATATAATCATAAATTATGCTTTATTACTGATCTAGGTTTATCTAAACCAGCTGATGAAACCGGAATTTCTAAAGATGGTAAACAAAAGGTTTTTTGGAGTAATTCCATATATAGCTCCTGAGGTATTATCTGGTGATAATAATTACTTAAAGGCATCAGACATATATGTTTATGCAATGATCATGTTTGAAATATTAACAGGAATTCCCCCTTTCTACAATATTCCTCATGATAAAGATCTTGCATTCAAAATATGTAATGTATATAAGACCAGAAATTCCATCTAATATTGTTAACCTCAATTATTAGTAAATATGATGAAAAGATGTTGGGATGCAAAATCAGAACGAAGACCAACTGCTAAAGAATTGTGTAATGATTTTATGAGTTATGGAGATGAAGAATCAGAATTGTATAAACAAATTAAAGAATGTAACAGAATAAAATTAACAAATCCAGTGGATAACAGTAATACAAATAATTTAACATATGAAATACATCCATCAGCAATCTACACTAGTAGATGTTTTAATTTCAAAAATCTTCCAGAACCTAAGAATCTTAATGAAAATGATGATAAAAATACAAATACGTTAACTACTAAAGATTATCTAAGTAAGCTTTTTACAATATATATATATATATATAATTTTAAATATAATTCTATTTTTATTTTAATATTAATAAATTTAATTAATTAATTGATATTTAATTGTATATTTTATAAGTTACTGAAGAATTTATAGAAATCCCATAGGGTGAGTATCGAATATAATTTTATTATGATATTAATATCCTTTCTTTAATTGTTTTTACTAATAAATCACTTTTACTTATTTTTTTTTTAAAAAAAAAAATGAATGAAATGAATAATTTACATTTTTATATGTAAATTTCATATAATATTATTGGTTATTTATTATTTCCATTCTTATTTCAAATGTATTTTATTGTTACTATAGTTAAATAAATATATTAAAATATTTAAAATCTTTTTTTTTCGCGAAGATAATTATTTCTACGATAAATTTTTTGTACGTGACTATCACGCCATAACATCAATAAACCAGCATTTACAAGTTAATATAGTCAGCCGTGTAAAATAAAAGGGAAATTTAACCTCATGACATGAAATTTTTTATGACGTTATTTTCAAGAATTTAAAAGTTCGATGGTACGTGATTTTTAAATAGAAAATTACAAATCCATTTATATTTTATTAGAATAAATAGACACCACATTAAACAATCAATAATACTAACTATAAAAAATTTTTTTAAACACTCGTTACTACGTTACTACTTAAAATACTCATTTAACTTTATATTTAAATTAAATTATGGAGCAAAATATAACTACAAATAATTTAAATGAAATAGTGAATGAAATAAATGAAAATTCAATTTCTGATAAATCAGATACCAAAGAATCTGATATGAAGATTACGGAATATATGAAGAATGTGGAAATAAAAATACAGGTGC